AAGTTTGCTGTGGGTGAGGGGACAGTTTGCTGTGGTGGGGGGAAGTTTGCTGTGGTGAGGGGACAGTTTGCTGTGGTGGGGGAAGTTTGCTTTGCTGTGGTGAGGGGAAGTTTGCTGTGGTGGGGAATTTTTGCTGTGGGTGGGGGAAGTTTGCTGTGGTGAGGGGACAGTTTGCTGTGGTGGGGGAAGTTTGCTGTGTGGTGGAGGGGAAGTTTGCTGTGGTGGGGGAAGTTGGCTGTGGTGAGGGGACAGTTTGCTGTTGTGGGGGAAGTTTGCTGTTGTGGGGAAGTTTGCTGTTGTGGGGAAGTTTGCTGTTGTGGGGAAGTTTGCTGTTGTGGGGAAGTTTGCTGTTGTGGGGAAGTTTGCTGTTGTGGGGAAGTTTGCTGTTGTGGGGAAGTTTGCTGTTGTGGGGGGGTAACGTTTGCTGTGGTGAGGGGAACAGTTTGCTGTGGTGAGGGGAAAGCTTGCTGTGGTGGGGGAAGCTTGCTGTGGTGGGGGGGAGTTTGCTGTGGTGAGGGGACAGTTTGCTGTGGTGAGGGGAAAGCTTGCTGTGGTGGGGGAAGCTTGCTGTGGTGAGGGGACAGTTTGCTGTGGTGGGGGAAGTTTGCTGTGGTGGGGGAAGCTTGCTGTGGTGGGGGGGAGTTTGCTGTGGTGGGGAAGGTTGCTGTGGTGGGGGGAGGTTGCTGTGGTGGGGAAGGTTGCTGTGGTGGGGGGAGAGTTTTGCTGTGGTGGGGGAAGTTTGCTGTGGTGGGGGAAGCTTGCTGTGGTGGGGGGGGAGTTTGCTGTGGTGGGTGAAGTTGCTGTGTGTGGGGGAAGCTTGCTGTGGTGAGGGGACAGTTTGCTGTGGTGGGGGAAGCTTGCTGTGGTGGGGGGGAGTTTGCTGTGGTGAGACAGCTGGCTGTGGTGGGACAGCTGGCTGTGGTGGGACAGCTGGCTGTGGTGGGACAGCTGGCTGTGGTGGGACAGCTGGCTGTGGTGGAACAGCTGGCTGTGGTGGGACAGCTGGCTGTGGTGGGACAGCTGGCTGTGGTGGGACAGCTGGCTGTGTGGTGGGACAGCTGGCTGTGGTGGGACAGCTGGCTGTGGTGGGGACAGCTGGCTGTGGTGGGACAGCTGGCTGTGGTGGGACAGCTGGCTGTGGTGGGACAGCTGGCTGTGGTGGGACAGCTGGCTGTGGTGGGACAGCTGGCTGTGGTGGGACAGCTGGCTGTGGTGGGACAGCTGGCTGTGGTGGGACAAAGTATCGTGATCAGACAATTCAGTACAAATGTCAAGAGAGCAAACTGATCTCCCGCTTCAAGGTATATATATGTTCCCAGCAAACACACGACCGTAACCTCAACGTTTTATTAACGTTAATTGAACTTTATAAACGTTTTAATAACTAAAAAAGAAACGTTTGGGTTTCATTGTGTCTGTTTTCTGGGTTGAGACTGTAGATGACGCCAGTAACTGTGTACAGAGAAGAAGTTGATGATGGATAGATATCCTGGGATATCTATCTTGAGGTTATCTTGAGATGATTTCGGGGCTTTTTAGTGTCCCCGCGGCCCGGGATATCTATCTTGAGGTTATCTTGAGATGATTTCGGGGCTTTTTAGTGTCCCCGCGGCCCGGTCCTCGACCAGGCCTCCACCCCCAGGAAGCAGCCCGTGACAGCTGACTAACACCCAGGTACCTATTTTACTGCTAGGTAACAGGGCCATATCCCTATCACTCGCTGCCTGGATAAATGGAATTGAAAGCTTGGCAACGTCTATGTTGTTGTTGTTGTTATAGATTCAGCTACTGGGAACAAGTTCTAAGTAGCACGGGCTATGGTGATCCCGTAACTTACCTGGTACAGGAGCGGTGCTGTGTCTGTAACGTCTATGATGAAAAGAACGTATATACAGGCCATGGTGCACCTTTTCTAGTGAGGGGGAGTGGATCTTGAGGTTATCTTGAGATGATTTCGGGGCTTTTAAGTGTCCCCGCGGCCCGGTCCTCGACCAGGCCTCCATCCCCAGGAAGCAGCCCGTGACAGCTGACTAGCACCCAGGTACCTATTTTACTGCTAGGTAACAGGGGCTTAGGGTGAAAGAAACTCTGCACATTGTTTCTCGCCGGCGCCCGGGATCGAACCCAGAACCACAGGATCACAAGTCCAGCGTGCTGTCCGCTCGGCCGACCGGCTCAATGGATGGTGGAAGACTTTGCAGGTAAAGCAAAGGAAATCATTAGAGAAAATTTAAGATGCGCTGTCTAACAGAACATCAAAACAGATTTGCAACCATAATCTATTCTGAATTTAATAAATGATGATATAGGAGGTATAATAATGTGAGTTTATATAATGTTATCATAAGCTCTCGCGTGACAAATTCACCCATTGGGAATATTTTAATGGTATTTAGAATTATTTTGATAAGTATTGCCATCGTCAAAAAAATAATGATGCTTTTTTTTTCATCGTAAGTGCAAAAAGTGCTTTTCCATAACCTTCATAACTTTACACCAA